CGTCCAGATCGATCGGAGCAGAGCCGCTACCGATATCGATAACCAACAACACAGCAGCGTCGTCATGGATGTCGTCGTCGTCCTCGGGGACCAGCCCTGCCATGTTCAGGTCATCATTGCCGATGAGTGGATAGACGACATCGTCGTCATCCTCCATGGCAACCTTGACTACAGACAGCTGATCTCCGGCACCATTCCTCAACGGTGCGCACGGCCGCCGTGCCCGGTCTATGCCATAGGAAGAGGACGAGGCATCGACAACCGACCTGCGCGGAGGAGAAAAACAGAGAGATAGAGATCCAGATCTAGGGTTAGTCACTAAGTCTCAGAGACACAAGAAGACATATCTAGGGTTAGGGTTAGGGTTCGTGGACTACCTGTGCAATCGGAGCCCGGTGCCGAAGATAACGAGAGCCACCTAGAGGAGAGACACCGATTAGAAACGATGGCGAACGGCGGAGGAGGGACAGACAGGAACACGATCACGAACTCACATAGTTCACCGAGAGCGAGAGGTCGAGAGGAGAGAGGGAGAAGGAAGGAGAGTGGAGACAGGGTCAGACAGGCGGATCGAGGTCACCGGAGTCGGGGACGACGGACGAGAGAGAGCTCAGATTCGCCACTGGTGGATCGTGGATGCGGCCGATGCGGGCGAGAGAGCAGAGATGCGCCGCGGCGAGCGAGAGAGTGGGGATTAGGGTTAGGGTTGGGAGCGGGCGAGCGACTTAGCCGACGCTCCCCGCTTATATTCTCGAGCGGGAGCACGGGGCTGCGGGCCTGCGGCCTGCGGGGAGGGGGGCCGGCCGGTGGCAGGCCGGGCCGCTAGCGGGCCTGCCGTTGAGGAGCGGGCCGTGCCGTGTCGACCCACGTGCCTGGGGTAAGGCCTAGGCACGGCTTGCTCCTCCGGGCCGGGCCGTGCTTGAGTTGGGCCAAAAAACGGGCCTTGGGTCGGGCCGACGGGCTCAGGCTACATGGCCATATATAGGCCATGTTCACTTTGCTGAAAAAACAAGCCAGAATACTGTTCCGACTGATTTGTTATGAGAGAAAAACACTATTCCGGCTGAAAAAACAAGCTGAAAAAGACGAATTATAAGATAAGCGAATAGGACCATAGTACTAGTATAATTTAGAAAGTCCAAACTAAAAAAGTCTAAGTGTCTTAAGTACTTTAGTCTGCAGATCGTCTGCGCTTGGTGTCCGCTAAGTCTAGAGAATGTCTTGGATTATACTATACCATATTACATGTGAGTTGTTTTTGCTAGGCATATCTCGGATTCGAATCCGGGATCCGTCACCGGGGCCTGCATGTCAGCGACAACACCGGGGGAGGTTACATCAGAGGATCTCTTTGCAGGGGAAAACAATATTCTATATTCGTCCTAGTGAAAACTTACTGCTGCTAGCAAGCATCTGACGGATGGTTAACTGAAGCTCCACATCGAAAGTTTCATTCAAGTAAAAATCTGCTGCCTGCAGAAGGGCACAGAAAAAACTAAGAACCCATAGAAAATGCACAAGACAATTGTTAGATAGTAAGGAGATCATATAATTATTTCTTGAGTCGTGTGAAATGAAGTCAATTCTATGTTCTCTTTGCCGGTCAGTACAGTAGACAAGTTCTCGCCAGAGGCACCTAGTCAAAATTTATTCTACAATAACAATCAAGTATGACCACACAGCAAGCTAGATTTTTTTATTAGGAAGCTGGAGGGGCTTGCGCCCCTAGGAGAATTTTTATTTTTGTATCCATTTTTATGTAATATTTTAATAATAATTGCTCCTAAAAATTTTTACAGATTCGACCAAGCGCGACGCTAGCACGCCACATGCATTGGCGTGGCAACATATGCAACGTTAGATGGCATTTCCGACGTAGAAAACGCTGTATTGTTTGGTCGCGCCATCGGGAGTGACGTGACCAGACAAAACCTTTGAAAAATCATAACTCTTTGATACGACATCGGATGAAGATGATCAGCCTGTTCGCTTGTTGGTTTCAGCCAGCCCAAACCAGCCAGCCAACAGTATTTTCCTCTCACAGAAAACCAGCACCAGCCAGCCCAAACCAGCACCAGCACCAACCAGCGAACAGGCCCGATATTTATATGAAAATTGTAGTTCTCGATGAGATCTACAACTTTGTAGTTTTAAGTTTTTTCATTTAAGGACGCTAAGATGCTAAAAAATAATATAAAATTTCAGGAGCATAATAACCGTGTACAAGTGCTCATCGCTTTAGAAAAATAATTTTTTTTTGTATGTTATCAAATGAAGATACTTTTTACATAAAAATTGTAACTCTCAATAAGATCTACAACTTTATAGTTTTGAGTTTTTACATTTGAGATAGTTAAGATGCACAAAAAAATAATATAAAATTTCAGCAGTATAATAATCGCGTACTAGCGCTTGTCGCATTAGAAAAATAATATCGTTTTTGTATGGTGTAAAATGAAGAAACTCTATTTATTATAAGATTGCTACATAAGTACTTCTATTTGTATCGGATATGGATGTGTATCTTTGTTTGCTATAGATTGTCATATATTTGTGCTAGGAAGCTTATCTCTTTTATATATTACTGTTGTATGGTGTTTAATTTAATGTGTGTTGCAGTCAGTGTGGCAGTGCCGTATTTCTACAGCTTGTTTGGCAGGCCGTAAATAATCATGAATTATTTATTGCTGACTGATTTGGTGTGAGAGAAAAATACTATTCTGGTTAAAAACGGCGGCGCCGCTGTGCGGCAGTGCTGCGGCTACGAAAGAGTATCTAAAACGACGGCGGAAGTAGCATCAGGGATGATGGATTGTTCATGGTGATGTGGGGTGGAAAAGCGTTTGCTCGCGAGGCGAGGACAGGGCCTACTATACCTGGCTTCGACGGCGGCGTTGCCCGACCATGGCAGCTCTCGCCCTGGAGCTCTTGCTTCACCTTGATCCGGTTCTTCTTAGGAGCCATAGCGGCGGTCAGTGGTTCGACTGCTATCTCCTTCAGCGGTGAGGTGAAGCACAAGGCCACGCACAGCAATGGCTTCCGCAGGAAGATAGCAGTGTAGGTGTAGCACAGAGCAAGCTCACTCTTCGAAACGACGGGTCATGCCAGGGTCGGCGATGGCTCGATGAATGAATAGTCAAATGCTTGATATTACTGGGATCAAGAGGAAATCCCTGCCTTCTTCGCTCAAACTTATCACCGTTACTTTTCAGCTATGAAATAATATTTTTTTATAATAAATTAGCATCAGCACCAACCGAAAAATTAGCCAGCTGAACAGACTGGCAAGTATTAGAGGCATTCACAAAAACTAGTTCGCAAGTTTTGGTAGCAAGCCAAATACTAGTTAAATCATGATTTGTCAAATCTTTGTCTCAGTAAACCTTGTTTTCTGTTTTTATAAAACTATGTTCGTGACCGTGTGTTGTTACCATAGAACTAAACTTTTGTAGTGTGCCTATGCTCGACTACGAGAGACGAGATCCTGAAAAATCTCTCCACCCAAACTGCATCGTAGCAGTTGTTCCATAAATTGACGGTCCGTGTCTAGATGACCCGTGCCGCTGGCTGGCCGGTGGATCTGCGGTCGGAATCCGAAGGAAAACTTATTTGATAATATCACAGGGAGTGTTCGGACGGTAATAATAAAATAAATTACAAAAGTCCTCAGTATTTTGCGAGACGAATTTATTAAGTCTAATTAATCCAGCAACAACACATGGTACTGTAGCTTTAACTGTAGCACCATATTGTCAAATCATAGACTAGTTAGGCTTAAAAATTCGTCTCGCAATTTAGTCGTAATCTATGCAATTAGTTATTTTTTTAATCTATAATTAATACTTTATGCATGTATCTAAATATCTAATGGAACGGGGCCTTACTCGTATATTGTGCAGAAAATCAGGTGATGCTACTCTACTCCAGTAGATAATAGTTGGTGCAGTAGGAGACAGTTTTCAAAAGGCAATGTCCGAAGTAAACAGCCAGCATGCGAAACAGCCAGACAAGCTGCTCGAATCGCTGCTAAAGTGCTAATCTTGTTCTTTAGTACTCCAACACCAGAAGAAAAAGAAAGGAACTTCTTTTTTATTCAGAAATGCTATACAACACATGTATGTTTTACATAAAAAACACATTAATTTTTTTTATCTATGACGTTTAGGGCCCACATGTCATAACCGACATGTATGGAAGCACCACGCCCGTGCCTCCCCGCCTGCTGCTCGCGCTACTTCCCTGTTGCTACATGCTGCCCCGCGCGGCCCCGCAGTCCTCCCAGCCGGCGGCGGACGAGGCGCGGTTGCTGCTCCAGATCAAGCGCACGTGGGGTGACCCGCCCGTGCTCGCCGGATGGAACGCCTCAGCCACGGGCGCACGCTGCGCGTGGCCATATGACGTCTAGGGCCCGCGCCGGCCATGGCAGTGGCGGTGGTAGATCCGGCTCCAGGTAGGCCTCTCCTCCTCCTCTGCGATCTGTGATTTGTCTTTCCATAAAAAAAATTGTTTCTTGTGATCTGTGATATGTAATCTTGTGATTTATGATTATCTGGAGATAGAAAAAGACTGAAGGTAGAAGAAGGGTAAAAGCTATTGGATCTTAATCCTATGGTGTAAAAAAATTGTGTTAAAACTTCATAAAACACATGGTTGTGTAGTAAGAAAAAGAGAGGAACTTGCGACTAGCGTCCTGTTCGCTTGGTCGTAAACGATCGTAAATTTCCAGCCAGAATAATATTTTTCTTTCACACCAAACCAATATTTTTCTCTCACACCAAACCAACCAGCCGTAATAATCCACGATCATTTCAGCCCCAGCCGAACAGGCTATAGGTCGGCAGGAAACGCGTTGCACCTGGCCTCGCTCCATCCAAATCTGAATTATTAGCATATCGCCGTGTCCAAGATGGACATTATGAGTTTGTTTGAAAAGAAAGATCACGCATGGATGATGAAGGGCGAATTAACGCATGAGCAGACAATCGTAATCCTGGAGCCGCATGGATGCTTTGCGGCCAATACAAGGGCTGATTGATCAAGTCCAAAACAGACTACCGGCAAATATACTTTACAAGTATCTCAAAGATTTTGCGTGTGATTTATGCAGTCACTTGCGAGCTCATGATGGGAAGCTGGAAAGCACGAGGCCAGGGGGGACAGGCGATATCTTGCCGATGGAGACGGCCTCATGGAGCCTGGATACGTCGTCCCCGGTCCCGGAGCCGCAAGCTCCGATCGACGAGCGACAGCCAAACCCCTCAAGTCAATTGTGGCGTCCAGGCCAAGCGTTGGTTGCGCGGCGAGACCCTGCTGCTCCCAGCCAGCCCTCGTCGACGCTGACCTCCGGCCTGCCGCGGCTCTCACAAACTGGGAACGCGTGCTCATCCCCACCGTGGACACTCTTCCAAGATCCTAAGGCTGCCGAGCTCTGCGTACAAAAGAAAGGCCTGAGGTTCTGCCGTCGTGTGGACTGTGGACAGTGGTGATAGCATCTAGCAGTGACATCTTGTGCTGATAGAGATCCCTGGCGCGAAAAAAAATTATTTTATGGAACGAAACGAATCAAAACATAATGATACAATGCAATACCAGCATGGAAACAAGTAATGCCTAATTCCTGATAACTCTGCCATCAAGGAATGGGTGACACACAGGAATATAACGCACGAAAGCAAGAGGGAAACACAGATACATGCAAGGATTACTTAATGCTATGGATAACCTAATGCTATGGATAACCAGGCACATCAATCTTGGGACTAAAATTATGGTCGCAGCGTTAGCACAAAGATGCGATGCATTTGCAGTCCAAGTGTCATGCTCACCTGGCAACAGTCTGAAGATGGTGGCATGGTAGACGTGCAGCTGGCCAATCCAACGCCATATGAGGTTGCTTCATCGCCAACTGTTTTCTGTCAGCAGATACTTGCATGATCATACACTGAAAATAACCAAAACAAAAAATATATGCATATGAGGTTCACTGGTAATCACCCTACACCAAGTGATTTCTCAAAAAAAAAAATGCAATGTTCCACCCTACTTTCCAAAGAAACAGATTAAACGTTCTGCAAATCTACATGCCTTAAGTGTCAGCTTGATTTGAACTTTTGCTTTTGCTAGGACATACCTGTAATCCTAGAAACTTATATTCCTAAGCTGCAATCTGAATGTGAGTCTCCAAATTTGCTAATGAAATGCATTTTTCATAGCTAAAGCAACGAAATGTGTTTTGACATAGGGTGAGAGACAGACTAAAGCAAGCATCCTAATTTCTGTGTGCACCACAGAATCAATATACAGATTCTAGATGCAAGAACAATCAAAAGCACTAGAAAACAAAGCGCGACGTTGTTGTGCTCCTGTGTGGAGTGCCTCCCATTGTGAAGCCATGTTTTTGTGAATCTCAAATGCGGTGGGGCAGAGGTTAGGAAGAGCGGATTGTGTCCAAATATAGTGTTAATGTCCTGATTTGTAATCTGAACTGTACATAAATATTTATGACTTGTTCTAGAAAAATGAAGTTCTAGAGTTATTTCTACTCCGGAATTGTAGAGCACTGAGTTTATCTGCATTGCATTGCTGAAGAAGAGTGTGGAGGTTAGATGAAACCAAGCATTTCATATTACAGGTGCCAATGTGACTGATAGCTCTTGGAAGTTGGAACCCTGATATACATACAGAGATAAATGAGAGCGTGAATAAAACATTTCATATTACAGGTGCTAAATTTATGTACTGTGAAACCTGTTGTTACCATACATGTAAGGGATTATCTAAGTACAATTGTTAGCAGAGCAGAACAGAATCAAGAGATCATGGATCACTCTTGTATTATCAGCGAATCCTCAAATAAAGAAAGAGTCAAATGATGCATGAAGAAACATGAAGTAATTCATTGCCACAAGCTTTTACAAGGAATAGATAGCAGTAGTACAATATAACTAATATAGAAAAAACAAATGTGCAGAATGCTAACGTTTTTGGCTTGAATTTGCCTTTCAGCTTTCAGAAGATTTTTTTCAGTGGTGCAGCTTGATTTCACTGGGTGATAACGGATAAGGTTATATATATAAGTAAGAGCATAAAAAGCTCAGAACATTTGTTTCAGAAAATGTGGTCGATATAAGAGCATAAAACAAAATTGAAGTACTGATTACTGAAGGGTGGGATCGACTGAAACTAAAAATGTGCATCACTAACAAAGTACAGTTTGCTAATGGTCAGATATAACAGCTGCCTCTTTACCTTGTATTCAGCTTTCTCTTGAACCATTAGCAATTTTTAGCATGCAGGATGCAGCTCACATGAAAGAAACCTTGTGAGTGATAATCTTCTTAATATTCAAATGGACATCTTTCGTACATCTGGTAGTGATAACTGTGTTAACATTAGTAGCGTTTCTGCAATGATGTTTTTGGATAGAAAATGGAACTACTTAAAGTGATCCCTCTTTTATAACGCATATACAATTTGTTTCCCCCTTGCAGGGTACAATAAAAAAAAGTCTAAGATAAGTTAATTTGCCCCCAAAACTCCAAAAGTCATAAGTGGGAAACTTTAGTGGCTCATAGCCAAATACTATGTCTATTCACTTCCCTAACGATTTGTTTGTCCATAGGATGGTCACATATACATGAGTTTAATCACTTGAAAAAATTCTGGGGCACTAAATCAGCAGAAACATTATTGCTTGCAAGATGTGCCTGGATATTATTCTTTTTTTAATTACCAATGGAACATCAGTATACAAGGTTTGTCTAACTGAATATATTGGACAATATTTTTTTTAGTCCTTCAATCCCAAAGTGCCAATTGATTCATCTGTGATTTAGCAAAGGAATATTAGTAATAAGAGAGACATACATGGAAAACCACATTTTCCAAGATGGTCATACACGAGGTGAAAGCTAATCATATACAAACAACTAATTAGCATAATGATAGTGTGATTTATGTCCAAATCCTATGAATCAATATTCCTAAGGAAACCTGGAATAATTGATAAATGGAAACGAACTGCACGGTAATCTCCAATGTGTTAGTAGAGATTAGAAAGACTTCACCACTCCACAGGGCGCCACTGCAGCCGAGTAGGGAGCAGAGTAGGGTACCTTGATTTTATATCTCAAAAAATGTTAGTTTATAAGGTCAAATTCACAAGTCATAATACCATGAGCAGCACTTTATTGATCTGTGACTGGCAGTTATAAACCAAGATTTTTGCCTAATGCCTCTGGGTAGAAGTGCAGAATTTGAGTATTGTACAGTGCCTACTTACTGGTGTTTGATTGTGGTAGAAAATATAACATGATGCCCAAAAAAATAAGAGTCCTATGATGCAACCATTGCTAAGTTCCATAACTCAAAAATATGATTACTCAAAGACAGGGAAATTTCAATATTGATAATTCAAAGCTCGAGGTTATAAGCTGGGGAACACTTCATTTTCCAATTTTCGATAGGGTATTGTTGCCACTTATTGCAGATGGATGTAGCAAGGAAGAGCTAGTATGCATGCTATGCACATGATTTCCACCATATTACTTGATAACTTTTGTGGCTCAAGTATTCATCAGCATATCAGAGGTTGATCTTTTGATCTTTTTTTTTGTTATCTTTGTAAAGATGTTGTAGATCCAACTATCCAAGTCCAGAACCGGTAAACAGAACTGATTTGCCTTTGAATCTTCTTACTTTTTTTTCTTGAGATTTGTCTTACTGATATTGAATATGTAATGGCTGTACTGTTATTTTTATGTTTCATATATAAGCCATCAAGTCAATATTGTTCTTCTGTTTAATATTGTTTTCATGAACCGAGATTCGAGCGATTATTATATCAAACATTATGTAAGACTGAATGATAACATTCCAGTCCTTTTTTTTTGCTGAAAAACAAATATTCCAGCCTATAATTTGATTAAGCAAAAGTAATATTGCAACCAGAATTTTTTAATCAAGAAAAAGGCATGGCCTAGAGCAAGAATTCAAGCAAGAGAGGTCTTTCAACATAGCAATGAAATGAAATTTAGTACGTGCTAATGAATCAAAGACCTATGTGTTGCATCAGAAGGCCTGGATATGCAAAGAATAACTGTCCGATAGACAGAACTGAACCTTGTAAGCATTTGGTCGAGCATGTGGTGGGCGTCGTCCATGGCGTTGTCCACCGCAGCTGCTGGGGCATTATCTGGAGCGTTCTATGGCACGAGAGGGAGCACAGAGGTACGGGGAAGCTGCGCAGTGTTGGCGCTGTTTGCCTTCTGTCTTGTGGCAGCGACGCTCACCTTCCCCCACGGCAGCGAAGACGTGGCGTGAGGAGGCGGCTGCTGCTCCCTTTTGCGCAGCCAAGTAGGGAGCACAGCAGGGGGGCAGGGGCGCCGCGCCCCGCAGCTGAGTCGTCGACCAAGGCGGCAGGGCGCCGCGCAGCAGAGCAGGGACGCTCGCCGAGCGGCTTGCAGCCGGGGTCGGAGGCAGGAGGCCGGGGCGCCCGGGGCGCCCGGGGCCGGGGGCGGTACATTGGGGCTGGGGAGCAGTGCCAAGAGTTTGGGACCGCGTGAGGTGTAGGCGTGGAGCCGCCGCGCCGAGTCGCCGAGCAGGGGGAGCTGGGAGCGCCGCCGCCCGCCTGTGCGCCTTCGGGCTTCGAGAGGAAAGTGAAAGAGCTTGCGGGCGTGTACGAGCGGATTCGCGAGTACTCGCGACCGTTCGGATCGTGGATTGATGGACGAGGGAGCCGACCGATCCGCAATCGAACGGACAACGTCGCTTGCTTGTACGATCTAACGGCCAATATGTTTCCGGGCGACGTGGCGCTATCACGGGTCGGGGAAAGCCCGGGAGGAGGTGCAGGATACGTGGCCGTTTGAAATCCTAGATACGTGGCAAGATGATATGCCCGATTTCATGGTGCGGATTTCGTCTTTTAGAAGATTCCTTTAATTTTTCTTTTTCTTTTCTTAGAAACAGGCTCAACTCAGCTTTTATTTCATAATAATGAACAGATTAACAGGGGAATACAAAGATGGTTAATGTCAGAGAGCTGTTGAGCAGAGGCATGTGCCATGGAGTTTGCAGGCCACCACCACCAAGGCTGCATGGTTAAACCAAGTGGGTGACAAATGGGAGAATTTTTTTTACCAGGGTGCTTCTGCTTGGGAGCTGACAGAAGTTCCGGCTGAAGTCAAAATTCGCCTGGTGAAGTTCTTGCCTTTGGGGGAGGTGTTTCAAGAGGGGAAATGGGTTAGTTTTCTGAAGTTGGGTTCCGAGTGGGGCATGTAATTGGTTTTTGAGCTCAGTGTGATGTTTTCTGGGGAGATTTCTTAGTTGTGTGCTTTGTGGACTTATTGGGAAGGTGTTATCCACCTGGATGCTGTAAACGGTTGGTCATTGTTACTGCGAAGACCGGGGCTCTGCCCTAGAACTCTAAAAAAATGCAAAGTAAATATTCAAACCATCAAAATACTGGTTGATCACCTCAATTTCT